ACTGGGTGCATATTTTTACATGATTGCAGATGTAGTCATGCCTTTCTTTCAGTTAATACTGCCATGAGCTTCTTTGGATGTGGCTCTAACATTGTTAAAAAATAGCTACATTCAAAGTACGGGTGTTGGTGTGCTGTGATGCATTAAATCCTTCCCCACCTTTTAAATTTTCAGGTAACTACCTGGTAAGACAGTAAAACATCTTCATACATTTAGGTTTTTTCCTGAGCTTCTATTTCTGATAGAAATAAAATAGTTCCTGCGAAGGGGCATGACTGAGTCATAAAGGACTCTGGGCTCTGGACTTTCGGTCCACAGCTGCCACATTCCTGTGCGTGGGCTGTGTTAGGTCGTATCCAGAGTAAGCAAAAAACTCAGCTGTCATTCATTCCACGGGATAAATGACTTATTTGCATATTCTTTTAGAGAAATTTTATGACTTTATTTGAGCCAAACTGCCAACATATGCCGGGAAGCAGGGTCTCAAATGCTCCCATAACTGACTTATTGTTTACAATATAAGTCGATCACATCTGTCTGTCTGCTGTGCCAAGCGCCGCGAGGGGCACTTTGACACGCAAGAAACGTTGGCTCGGTAGACCTGGACTAGTTCAAGGCACGTTCTCTGGTTTGAATTGAATTGATACCTTGGTGCCATCTAGGCAAAATGTGGCCCGTTTCTCTTGGTGAAGGTCCTTGTGTGGGTCATGAGGGCGGTGAGCCTCTTAGGAAATTGTATTTGGAGAATGCCAGCTGGCTTCTCCATGTTGCCTTTCTAAACACAAAGGGAATGTCACAGTGTACGAATCGCAGGAAGGTAAGGAGTTTCCCTGGCGGTTTCTGTTCTTGGTGTGAGGGAAGACTCCCTCTGGTTCTCGAACCTTCATGTGAGGTTTGGAAGTACTGCTGGTCTGGGGAAACCTCCTCGGGCGGCCCGTGTGGCCCTTGCTTCTGGGGAGAAGAGCGGATATCTGTGCTCTCTGCCCCCCATTTGTGATGGGAGAGCGGGTGGGCATGACTGTCATCTCCTCTGCTCCCAGAACAGACCCAGGAGAACATTCAGCGTTTTGAGCAACAGGCAGGGCTGAGAGATGCTGGCTACACACCTCACAAGGGCCTTACCACCGAGGAGACCAAGTACCTTCGAGTGGCAGAAGCACTCCACGTAAGCTCGTTTGACAAAAACGACACCGTCATCACTCAGCGTGAGATGTGGCTGTGGTTTAGAAGTTACCAGCTCAGCGAGGTGGGGGTTGCGGGGAATGATGCAAAGAGAAGAGGTGAGGAATGTAGAGCTGTGTGAGCCCACCTGTGGTGGCACAGGGAGCCCTAAGGTCCAGGGCTCTTACCCGGAAGGTTCTGCTTATCTGTCTGTGAAGTGGGGGTGTCTGGTCAGGAGGAGGAGAGGAGCCTCTGTGCTCATGCGTGTGGTGTGTGTGTGTGTGTGTGTGTGTGTGTGTGTGTGAGAGAGAGAGAGAGAGAGAGCGCATGTCAGGAACAGTAAAGCCAGTGTGGGTCGCTTCTTGTACCAGAGCGATGGGCGCTGAGGGGAGAGGAGCATCGGCAATGTCAGAGGCACGACACTCGCTGGAAAGAATGGCATGCTCTTTGAAAAATTAAAAGCAAGTGCAGAATTGGGAAGTTTTGCTCTTTATTCTAAAATTGGAATGAAGACTAATTTTTGGTAAGGTTAATGATGACCAAATAGTTGTATGAATGAAATAATTTCTAATGACTTTAGCTCAAGGAACACCACTCTGTACTTAACAGTGCTTAATGATCTCTGAGGCACTCGCATCCACTTAGTCTTTGTGTTAATCCTTTGAGGTAGAAACTGTTCATGTCCTATCAATACAGAGACTGGCGTCTAAGTTCATGTACTTAACCCCTCACAGCACCTGAGCTCAAGTCTCCTGATGCCCTATTTCTTGGTGTTTCCCCCATATTCCAAAGTTGTCAGAGACCCTGGCTCTTGAAGGTCTCAAAGGAGGATCATGCCCACAGTATGTAGACGGAAGAGTGAGGTGCAGCGAGTGGCCTGTGGGAGGGATGTAGGACCTGTGGACTGTCGCATTTCCTAATGAGCATCCCAGATGATGTTTGCAGGCTGGGTATAAAAACCACTGCTGTGGGGGATCAGAGTTGGGCTGGCCAGTGTGAGCTGTCAGACAAGACAGATGCTTCCGGAGAGGGGCACGTGGGTCTCTGATTCGGAGAACTTCCCAGGATCCGTGTCTGAGTTCCAGTTGAGCAATTCGCCCTGCATAATGGCAGAGTTGACTTGGGGCCATTTTCTGCATCTTGGCCACAGCACTAGAACACAAAGCCAGCTGAGGTGCCGCTTGCGTAAGCTGCCGTGGAGTGTTTGAGGGAAGAGTGTTAGGGGGAGTGTTTGAGTGTTCAGGCAGGGGCATTGGTTTGGATGTGGTTGGGGCTCGGCATTGGCACTCCAGACATGGAGCACAGAGGCAGTCAGGGAGCCTCGACCTGGAAGAACTGGGAAGTAAGCTCTCCCCCCCAGCAAGCGCTTGTCTGTATGTCAGCGGTATGTTTACAGTGCGGAAGGAACCAGGGTGGCTGGTTACGGGAGGAAAAGGTTCAGATGGGCAGGCTCCACAGAGGAAGCAGGCAGCTGGAGGAGTAGCATGCCCGAGTCACGGCTTAGAGAGCCTGGCGTGATGGATTGTCCGTGGCAGGAGAGACAATAAGGAAAGAGTTCAAGGCCATACTGAGAAGGCACAGAAGGCCTGCAGCTTGAGTTCTGGCTCTTACACTTACTGGCTGGATGAGGTGGGAAAACTAAAAGCTCTAATGTAGTATTTAGTGCAGAAATGTTGAAGATGTGTTGTAGAATTAATCTTTTTTTTAAAAGATGGATGTCTATCTAGTATGACAAAATCAAAGGAATATCTATTCTATAATCCAAAATTATTCTGCCTATTAATGTCTTCCTTTTGCCTGAAGTTGGTGTGGACCAGGATGTTTATACCCAAACTTGGCTCACGTCTCTCTTCTTACCCATCTGAACAGACACTAAAACTACAGAGTGGAGAGATAACGAGGGAAGAGAAGCAGCCGGCCTCCGCCCAGTCCACCCCCAGCAGCACCCCCCACTCTTCCCCTAGGCAGAAGCCGAGGTGAGCCTGCATGTGCGAACGTGGGGCTGAAGCCTGGTTTCTGAGCGAGAAGGGGGAGCTGACCGTTCCTAGGCTTTTCACACGAGGCACTTCTCGGGGGCTAGAAAGAGGATCTATTGGGCTGTTGTGTTCTTTCTCTGCCAGAGGCTGGTTCTCTTCGGGCTCTTCCACAGCCTTACCTGGCCCACATTTTAGCACCATGGATTCTGGGGATAAAGACAGAAACTCGGCAGACAAATGGAGCCTCTTTGGACCAAGATCCCTCCAGAAGTCTGATTCGGGTAAGCCAGCTCCCTCAAGAGAGAAAGCGTGTGCGGCATTTACCGTGTGCGGCAGGAGCTGCTTGCTGCTTTTGAAATCGTTTGCTCTGGTTCCTTCTGCAGGAGGCTTTGCCACCCAGCCCTACAGAGGCGCCCAGAAGCCTTCTCCAATGGAACTGATGCGCATGCAGGCCTCGAGGATGGCCGACGATCCAGCCACCTTCAAGCCGCCCAAGATGGACCTCCCAGTGATGGAAGGGAAGAAACAACCGCCTCGGACCCATAATCTCAAACCCCGGGACTTGAATGTGCTCACACCCACCGGCTTCTAGAGCTTTCTCTTCCATTGACTGAATCGAGGTGTCTTGCACCCACTTCCTTATTACCCTGGCTCTGACATAGGAATGGTTTGGTTTTTGTTTTTTTTTGTTTTTTTAAACCTTAACCTGGGGCTAGAACTGGAGACATTATTGGTTTTTGAGAAACATTAGTGCAAAGCTTGTCCTGTGTGGAAGAAGCCATTGTGCATTGCTTTAATTTGAAGTTAGACTGAATACTCTCAGCAGTGACGTATGGAGGCCTGATCACCTGTTTTTGCATTATTTAGCCTAGACAAGAACTTGATCATTGCTTACGAGGTAGATAATGCTTATGTTGTTCCCAAACCAAGACTTCTTGATTCCTTTAAAGACCAGGGTCAGCGAGGGCATGGGTAAGTCAGGGAGTAGAGGTGCTCACTGTCTAGTCTCTGGCCCTCTTGGCGGCTGGTGCTGTGTGCTCCATCCTTGTGGCTGAGGGGACCTACGATCCGTTTGAGATCTGGGCACGAAGAAGAGCCAGACTTGGCAGGGACCCTTCTCCTGCGTGGAGACCGGAGCCCTCGCTCTAGCTTTCGGGCAGAGCTGGTTCCTACTGTGGTGCCTCCAGGGCAGTTCTGCTGGGCAGCGCTTCTCTTCACCTGTCAGCAAACACAAGTCTTGCATATCCTCTGCTGCACTTTAAAGTGAGATTAAGTTAACTCCAATTTGGTAGGAAAGTTTCTAAGGGAGAAAATGCAGCCTACTGCTTTGGTGTAGATTAATGGATGTTAAGGTTTTTTAAAATAAAGATGGTGGTAACTATACGTAGATTCTAGTCCAGACGTTCATGTGAAACAAGTGTCACCAGGACCTGAAACTCTTTCTAAGAGCCACATAGAAGGATGAAAAAAGGTTCTACATGCAACCGTTGCCCCCAAACGAGCCTCGGACCTGTGTAAGCACAGAGTGTGCTGGGGACAGGAGCCAGGGAAAGCACCTGCTCATCCTCCACCGCGGCCGTGGGCGGTCCTTGTCCTGAACCGTCTCAGACTCTGCTGTTCTTAATTTGGAGGGGTCGTGTCTACATAGGGAGCTGGGCTGAGCCTTCCCCAGAGAGGCCCTGCATCTCAAAGGATGAGAACAATTAATTTATTTGTGTCTTCTGTTAAGCTTGTATCTCTTACTTGTTTTGACAATAAAATTCCTTACTACTTTCTCAAATGTGCATAGCTGTTGTTTTTGTCCTGTTAAGAGACGTTATTGCATTCTGCTTACTCATAGTCATGGTAAGCAGGTAAACTTGGTATTTTGAAAAACCATTGCCTTTTTATTGTATCCTTTTAACATTTTTTATAACGCTCATCCTCTTATTTCTAACCTTCCATCCTTCCCCCGTTACATTAGATCTTAATAGACTTGCCACAAAATCAAATTCATAGGCAATATAACAGGTCTAATACTGATGTTTGTGTTCCATTGGGGAGAAATGAATGTGTCTTTCTCTTTCGAAACGGGTCATCAGTACCTTGAGTAACATTTGATGTCTAGGATTTGTTCAGAGGGATTTTTTTCACATCCTGAATGGAAATGTTAAACATGTAAGTGCATATAGTATTACCTGTTTCAAAAAGTATAGATAAATAATTTATCAAAAAATATATACACCTTGTATATTTAAGCCATATTTGAGAATAGGCTATGATAGGATTATTTTAAAAAAGGTATTACTAAAGAGTTAGAAAGTTATTATAGCCTACAGATAAATAAGATAGGTTTGGTCCTGTAAGACTTTTAACTACTTTCCATACTTTGAGAACTTGCAAGTAGTTGGCGATACAGTTCAAGAGGTATTCTTGGTGCTCAGTGCATAGCAGGACCTCAGGGGCTGCTCCAGTGCTTGGGGGAGGGCTCTGCGTCGGGGTTCAAGTCCGCAGCATAGAAGAGCAGGAGCTTCAACAAGTGCACTTTGTCTTGGAGCTGGGGGACCAGGGGCTCTCCCAGCATCTGGACCAGGCGGCTGCGGAAGGCCTCGATCTGCTTCTCCACGTCCACCACTGTGATGTCATCGCCTTGCTGGGGCTTGGGCTTAATCCTTTTGATTATTAAGTCTTTTCGATCAATCACCGAACTCCGTAAATGCTCTGCAAGAGGGAACAAGTCAGTTGAAAAGAACTGCTTTTTATCCCTTTATGATTGAAGACACTGAAGTCCAATTTTAGGCAGGGTCTGGGCAAACACTTGTCGACTAGTTACTGGGACACAAGTCAAAGGCCAAGTGGGTACTTGTGGTAACTCTATTTCCAAAAGGTCCATTGTTCTTGCTCTCTCTGGTACTCAAGTTTTTCATATTAAAAAAAATTTCTGTTCCATTTTAATTTTCCCTTGTTGGTTTAAACAATGAAACTATTTAAGATTAATATAACCACTTGAAAAATATTCAAGTGAATTTTGAGTATCTTCAGGTAGATTTTTCCTAAGTATGGAAGAATTGCAAAGAAATATTGAACTTATATTTAGTAAGTTTATTGTGGTGTTGGTTTATTACAGTAACTGTTTAAGTGAAACCATTTCGTCTGCACTGTAGGGTAGGCCAAATGAGTAAATACATTTGTGCTCAGAAACGGGGGTGTGGGGCATTGTTTCTTTTAGCCAGAGAATGAGTTCAACAGACAGCCCAGCACCCATGTCTTGTGGGGCTGCTCTGCCTCTGGAAATGTTTGTAAAATGTGAAGGTTCGGGTTATACTTCTCCCCAAGGTCAAGGGTCTATACGAAAGTAACTTAATCATGGGTAGGGAGTTTAGAAAAGGGGGTTGAAAATTCCTTAGACTCTCACTTTCTGATTTCACTTAGCGATTTCATAGGAAAGTAATTCCTTCCAGTGTTTTCACTGCACAGACTTTGGCAACAGCCCTGAGTTTGAGTCCTGGCTCTGCCTTTCCTTTCTTCTCAGTCTTTGTGTCCCCATCTGTAAAAGGTCAATGACTTCTGCAAGGTCATTGGATGACATAAGCTAGTGTATGTGAATTTGCTTATCTTCCTTCCTCTCTCCATGTTAAGAGGCTTTTCAACTTCTCCCTTTCCTCCCCCACCTTTGACAACTCGGGCTGAGCTCCAAATGTCCTCAGACCGTGTGAAGAGGCAGAGATGACTAGGGAGCCCTCTCTGACCAGGACACTGACCATTTCAGGGTGCCATTCGGGGTAGGACACTTTCAAACTACTGAAGCTGGAGAGGATGTCAGGATAAAATAGCATCACATCACAGCCCATTTATTCAATACAGGGAGGCTTACATTTGTGAGTACTTGAAAGTTTATATTTATATTATTTACTAATTATTGTATTCTTTATTTGTATTACAACTGTAAGCTTACTTTTGCCGCCCCTGTATGCTGATCTGAGGCCTTCCTTTCCCTTTTTTGTTTTTTTAATTTTAATATATTTTATTGATTTTTTACAGAGAGGAAGGGAGAGGGATAGAGAGTTAGAAACATCAATGAGAGAGAAACATCGATCAGCTGCCTCCTGCACACTCCATACTGGGGATGTGCCCACAACCAAGGTAATGCCCTTGACCGGAATCGAACCTGGGACCCTTGAGTCCGCAGGCTGATGCTCTATCCACTGAGCCAAACCGGTTAGGGCCCTTTCCCTTATTTGAAGCATAAGAATATTCTGTAATTAAACCAGAATCCATGTCTATGTTAAGTTGCTATTGCCCATGACACAGGTATATTTCCTGGGAAGCAAAACAAATGAACAAGACGTTTTAAAGGTGAACTTTAAACAAAAACAAGCTGCTTTAATATTAAACTTTCTGCTAGATCTCGAAAAGAAATAGTTACATAAAGCTCTGTGAGGCTAAGCACCCATGGAATTTGCCTTTGGGGCTTTGTTCTGAGAAGGCTATGTACTGTGCTCTGAGAGTGCTAGAAATGCCCGACTACGCAAGCATATGCTGTGGCCTTGACAATGCACTCTGTTCAGTTACAAGAACTTGAAACAGAGGAGACCCTTGTAGCTTACCCCTGTTTAGGCAAATAGGCAGACCAAGGTCCACTCACAATGCCTGAGCCATGCCTACTCTTTCCTCACACCCACTTGCAAGCGGCATTGGCAGGTTAAATATTACCAACCCCATTCTGTAGAAGGAGAAACAGGTCTAGAGACCAAGTTAACTGCACAACGCAGAGTAAGTGCTGGGGTTGGACTTAAACCCTGCTCTTCTGTCTTAAATCCAGAGCTTTTTTTTTTCTGTCTCTACAACATCAGCCTCAGTTCTAGGCCCGGGAGGGTATAAAGACTTTCTTACCTTCCCAAGTGCCTCTACTGAGCTAAAATCAACCTCAACAGGATCATGCAGATAAATTTTATATACACTTCCTATTGTTTGAGAATAAGATACTGCCCTTCTATCTCTCAATACTTCAGTATAGATCTCCTAAGATCAAGGACATTTACTTTCATAGGCCAGGATAATTATCAAAAATAGGAAATTTAATATTAATGCAGTTCTATAATCTGTTTAAATATCATCAATTGTCCCAATAATGTACTTTCTAGCTTTTTATTTCCTGGTTCAGGACCCCCTCTAGGACCATGTTTTGCATTTAGTACTCACATGCTTTAGTTCCTTTTTAAAATGGAGCAGTTTCTCGTTCCTCCGTTGTTTTGAAGAAAGTGGCACTTTTGAGGAGTACAGGCCAGTTCTGTGAAATCCCTCAAAATGGGTTTGTCTGATCCTCCTTGTGATAAGGTCATGGACTTTTGGCAAGAATATTACATATATGAGGCTGAGGTGTCCTCGGGGCATCACCTCAAGAGGAATGCCAGTTTTCTTCTGAAGTTGCTATCTTTCCTTTTGTAATTAATAATTACATCACTTTTCCAAGGGCCCCATTAACCCTGGGCTAACCAATCATTCTCATTTGAAGCAGCTCTTTCTCAGCTTCGCCTGGGATTTGAGCAGAGCCGCTATGACAGACGTTAGGATGTCTTCTATCTTTTGTAGGATGTACACTTTCACCTTCCACTGATGCGCACTGTGTTTGCATCATACTGACGATGTTTATAATGTCCACAGTCAGTGAGCAATCGACCCAGCAAAGACATGGCAGTGAGGGGCCAGGTCAGTTGCCAGGGCTGGTCAGGAAATGACTGAGCACCTCCCATGTTTTGGTGACTCTTGCTCACTCCTCATACTGGTGAGGACCAATGTGTTACATACTGTCATGCGAACAGGTGAGCTCTCTGTTTCAGAGCAGTGATTCCAGCCATGTCATTCCTTGTTCCTTACAGGTACAACCAAGGAACAATGCTAACTGACTGGAATCCCCACGTAACTTTAATGCATAACACTGTCCCCCATGAGACTCCCACACCATCTTGTGTGCAAATGCTCCTTACCTCTGAGAACATGTTGATAGCTGGATAACAGAAACTGCAGGTGCTCGACCAGCTCATCCCACGTCTGCCACTGGGTTTTGTCCGACTGTGGAGACAGTAAGAGCACTTGCTAATAACCGCCTCCCTCAGTTAAAGGTTTCGTGCCGTTTCCTAGTCACTTGGACACGATGCTCAAAGGTTGGGGAAGGTGTCCTGGCCTGAACTGAAGCAGGGAGGCAGGTACCTGACACTTGAGCAGCGACGTGGAATGGTTCAGGAAGTAGAGGGCCTGGGCCAGAGACAGGGGCAGGCGGGTGGGCGTCTCGCAGCTGTGCAGGAATATGATCTCCAACACTTTGCAGCGCAGAAGGTGGCTTTCCATGGTGGTAAAGAACATCTCTCTGCATGGAGAAGGTGAAGAGGCAGCTAACTGGCACGGCTCTTATATCCAGGAGCACGTTCCACAATTCCCCCTCGGTGCTCTAACATTTGCCCAAAAACAGGCAGCTACAAAAGAACCTCATGGAGGCCTACACACTCACTAAGCCCGTGGACAGGGCAGACACAGAACCCGCAGGAGGTCTACACACTCACCAGCCCCGTGGACAGGGCAGACACAGGACCCGATGGAGGTCTACACACTCACTAAGCCCGTGGACAGGGCAGACACAGAACCTGATGGAGGTCTACACACTCACTAAGCCCGTGGACAGGGCAGACACAGGACCTGATGGAGGTCTACACACTCACCAGCCCCGTGGACAGGGCAGACACAGATTTGTTCATGAACTAACAACAGCTAGAAATGGGAGAGCCTTGGTATTTGGAAAAGACCAATTTAGGACACATTAAGAAGAATTACTTCACTAAGAGAGTTAATATTGAGAATAATATTTCCGGATGTTCACAGTGTGCTAGATACTGTTTGTCTCAGTAAGGAACATTAAGATAAAGGATTTTCTAGTATAACTTAGTGAATGCCAATTTGCCCCTTCTGGGAGAGTTTTAAAGTAGGGACACGTTTTACTTAAATTATTTTTGTCTATGTTAAATCTAAATTTGCTTATAGTTATGTAGTCCTTAGATTTCTCACCTCTCAGCAGAATCTGGGCTTAAATGTTGACTGGTATGAGTTGGACCCAAATGAAGTGGTAAAGGGAGCACAGCATCTATGCACACCTCCTCTCTGACCTCTCACAGACTGCCTCCTTTGAACAATGAACCTGGGATTTAGAAGTCCTGGGTTTAAGTTTGGATTCTGAATCTGATTAGCTGTGTAACCCTGGACTAGTTATTTCACTACATTTAGTATCTTTCTCGTCTTTTAGTTTCATGAAAATATGAGAATGTGACCATGCCTGGCACATTGTAGGGACCCAATAAACACCTGTCTTAATCTTAGCAGGGTGTTTTAATTAAATCTTTATGACTAATATTTGGTAGGACATTTTCTTCTAATGGAGGAACCAGAGCTGTGGAAGAATATTCTTGGCTGCCAACTGGGAGCATCGGGGTTGGGGGTGAAAAGCAGAGAGCCGAGGGAGATAATTTCTCCAATGCTCTCCCATAGTTACTTCCTGTACCAGCAAGTGTTTACGAATTCATATTCATTCCAGTTTGACTTCCTCTGGATTCTAAAATTGCTGGTTCAAAGAAAGAATCATTAGTTCTAGCCAAGAACTCTCTTCCTTTATCCCCTCCTGATGGAATGCTTTATTAATTCATGCTTAGAGAAACGGAATTCCTTATTCGTATTCTCTGGGCTCACGCTACAGGTTCAGCCCTGCTCGTTCTTGATCATCTCTAATATTGGACATGCCTGTTTCATTCGCCTCTCAGGCCTCCCATGGACATTTATGCCAGGCTCTATGGCTGAGGGTCAGGGAAGAAGGTTGTGCTTAGCTGGTGAACCTTGAAGGATGAGTAAGATTGTTAGCTAAATGGGTAAAGTAGGAAAATTTAGGCTCCATTTAAGGTATCCCGGCTTTTCCCAAAAAATTACGACTTCGTTGCAAATAATAAGAATTCATTCTTCAAAGACCATTACAAACTTTTGAACAATTAAAAAAAAAAAATAATTCATTCTTCTTGCCCTAACTGGTTTGGTTCAGTGGATAGAGCGTCGGCCTGCGGACTGAAGGGTCCCAGGTTCGATTCCGGTCAAGGGCATATACCTTGGTTGCGGGCACATCCCCAGTGGGGGGTGTGCAGGAGGCAGCTGATCGATGTTTCTCTCTCATCGATGTTTCTAACTCTATCCCTCTCCCTTCCTCTCTGTAAAAAATCAATAAAATATATTTAAAAAAAGAAAACTGTTTCTCTCTCATTGATGTTTCTGACTCTCTGTCCCTCTCCCTTCCTCTCTGTAAAAAATCAATAAAATATATTTAAAAAAAGAAAACTGTCTTCTTTTACAGGTTATAGAAACAGGAACTCCCCCCCCCCCCCCCACCCCCAATTTAACTACTGTTTGGAATTTTCTTTCAAAATTATGTTCCTGGAATAAAAAAGAAAAACAGAACTAAGACTCACCTCTGACTCCGCTCCGGAATGTCCAGCACAAACCCAAACATCATCTCGGCAATTTTATTAGAGCTGCAGGTGGGGGTCCTGTCCACCTCCACGGCTATGGACAGCATCCTCTGCAGCTGGCACACAATCCTGAGTCCAGAACAGATACGGGTGAGCAGGAGGTCGGAATGAGCCACCTGCTGGCAGGGAGGAGGTCCCACCAGCGTTCTACAGGGTCTTGTAAAGCACACAGTAGGTCAGGGAGAACTACTCAAGCCACCAGCATGCTTTTGTTCAGCAGTTTCACCTACCTGAATCCCTTTTGCCAGATCATACTATCTGAACCTCTCAGAACCTGGGGTTGAGCTGCAAAAGCAAGCTGCTTTTAAATTCAAAGATAGAAACATACAATCATAAGGATCTAGAGTACTTTGAGGATCATCTAACCTATAACTTTTGCTATGCGGATGAAGAAATGGGTCCAGAACTGCTTCCAAGTATTTGAATCTCTTTCATACAGGGGGAAACACAGAGGTGGGAAAAAGTAGGCTAACGGCTGTGAAACGCAGAGCTTATTCTTGTATTATTTATTAATTATTGTATTATGTCTTTTTCCAACTGCAAACCTACTTTGCCCACCCCTGTAGATATTTACCATATAGTTTTCTCCTATTACTGATTCCTTTACATTAATCTTTTGCTCAGTTCATTCTCAGAACTTCAACTGATGGAACGAGGCCCTCTCCCATGAGACCTCACCAGCTGATATGGCAGAAGGAATCTGGACAACCTCTCAGAAAGTCCACCTTTTCTAACATGCATTATTATTGTGATGGAAGAGAGGGCTGTTGGCAGGAAATCTGTAGGCGGTAACACAATAGGTGGACCAGAGGCGTGGGCCTTAGATTCTGGGCCGGCAGTGACAAGCTGTTCACCTGTTGACAAGCTACTGACAGGCCTAGTTCAGAAAGTTGTGAGTGCTCTGAGGGACATCTGGCAGACAGGCGGTCATTGATGATAAACAGTAGTGCCTATTATTGTTGGTAAGATCTATTAGTATTCACTTATGATCAATTTCTCATTACTATTATTTATGTGAGATTAGCTTCCCTTAAAGGAACTATGTGGGCCTCTCTTGTATCTGTAAACGGGTTCTGGGATAACCCTACTTCAGGGCTGCCCAAGTCAATGCTTTTTTGCTCCAAGACATTCTCCATTTTGATACAAGATTGTCTCCTAAGTTAGTCAAAACCCATAGGCCTTATATGAAAATCTGTGCAACTAGATTGTAATATAGCGTTGTGAATTTAAGCACAAGTGCTGTGTTTGAAATGCCGAGTGTGACTGATTTCTCACAATATGACTGACACAGGATAGAGGGTTACTTGTATAAGGGCAGCTCCAGCCGCTAAAATCTTGGCATCTCTCAAAAAATACCAAGACCACTCTCAACCCCATAAAAGAACTCCAGGAATCTCTTTCCAGTGCTGTCTGAGGTCCTGGGACCGGCCTGGTCTGAACCACTGCTGTTATAACCTGGTAGAACCGGCAGGTTGAACGGCCAGACTCCTCCCAGGACTGGAGGAGAGAGACGTAGGTCCTCGAGGACTAGAGGCTGCCGATCGCCCACTACCCATCCCTTCTCTTCTGTCAGTGAAGCTGAAGGATGCGCAGCTGTAACTGCACTGTCTCTTGGTGTCCAGGAAAGGGAGGGCTGTATCCTCGTTTTTTGTTTCACTTCAGTTTATAAATTTGTGTTCACTTAAATTTGTGTTTCTCCTATCCATCTAGGGGAAAGCATCTGCTGTTGTTCTACCTTTGGAATTAGAAATTTAGCCTTTGATCAAACAAGATAGTCTTTAGTAAGAATCATTCTGTTTCAGGGCTTGTTAACTTGGGGGAACTGCTCTTAGGGAGTGGGGCTGTTTCTACAGTCAATCCCAGCAGCCCTAGCAAAGGCAGCTTCTGCCCTTACACCTGAGTGGTGTTCTTCGTCAGAGGAGGCTGGGGAGAAGCGTGGCTACTGCTGGCCTTCATGGTGCCTGTTCCCGAACAGGTATGACTCCCATTTGGGGGCTGAGTTAATCCACCTTCCGTCACCACTTTAACCAACCACTTGATCACATCTCTGCAAGGGAAAAAAGATAAGAAAAAGTTTAAACTTTTGTCTGATTGTATGGTGCTCAGAACTGCAGCCTTAACCTGGGCTCCTAAACCCCTAGGTTTCCCCAATGGCAACAGAAGGCCCTTAGGCTATTTTCAATGTACGTAAGTCTACTGGAAACCACACACTAAATGCAGTAGGGTTATACACGTAACTAAGATACCAACATTTACTGAGTTACCATCATTGAAAGGTACCTCCAAGGTCTAAGAGCACTATTTCTGGCTTCCTGACCAGAAACATCCCTTGACTAGGTGGTGAGCTGAAGTGAATGACCACAGAAGTCCTTGCTGGCTTTCACTTGTTAGGTGTCATCTATTAATGCTAACACTCCAGGTTTAAAGTATGTACAGTAGAGTCATATTTTACACAGGGTGCAGGCTCTAAAGGCCAGCAAGGCAAAAACATCTTATACAGTCAAAATTCCTTTGATGATCACTTAGGTAGCCGAGGCAGAAATGGTGGATTGAACACACTCAGCTAACTTTGTACCTTTCAAAAATCCCACTAATAAATACTACAGTAAATCATTTTTAAAAATCTACAAGGAATGAGAAAAAGAGGTGAAAACACAATCATGAAATTTTAGAAATCAGGAGGAAAATGAAGTATATTCACATAACAGAATATTATATAGTAGTGGAAATGGATAAGCTACAGTGTTAGGTAACAATATGGACAAATCTTAGTATTCTGTAATATTAAGTGAAAAATAAAAGACTTTTTAATATAATGGATTACATATAGCATGATATCCTTTTATATATAGCTAAAAATAAAAATATATACTTTGTAGGAACACATGCAGATGTAATAAAACTACATAAAAAACGTAATCAAAGTAGCTTATAACTTCTTAACAGTGATTCTGGAAGCTAGAAGACAATGGAAGATTTCCTTCAACTTTCTGTAGGAAAGTTATTTCTAATCTAAATGTCTACACTCAGTTATGAATCAATTTGTGGGAAGATAATTTCAGACATACAAGATCTCAAAAATTTTACTTCCCACATACCTTTCTAAGATTCTACTGGTGACTGGTCCATCAAAAGGAGGGAGTGAACCAAGAAAGAGATGAAGTAGAGAAAATAAACAAGAGTCCAACACTAGGAACAGGCGGAGGGAATTCCCTCATTTACAGTAAGGATTGGCAAAGAGGACAACCGATCCAGATTAAAGGAGGCCAAAATGTTTCACCATAGATATTCAAGAAGAAACTGGTAAGACTAGCCAGTGCAAATAAACATCTGAGGGGAGGTTCAGACCAAATAGTAAAGAATTTGGGATTGATTTCCAATATGCACAAAGAATACAAGGAAACTAAAACTAAGGCAATTATCAACTCAAAGGAAAACAAAAAGGTATCATAGTTTAGTATTGATTCAACTCTGACTAGCTACATAGCCATAGTAATAGAAACATCAAATACTGACCTATACAAAATTATGATATAACTATATTAATGGTATGGGGGCTGGGAAATGTGTGTATGGGAGGAAGGAGGTAGGGAGCAAAAAGAGCTAACTCCTCATCTTTCATGTGGGAAATTGATAGATAGTAGCTAGTAATGAAGAAGTCAAGAATTAGCAACACAGCAGGTTATTTAGCCACACAGATGTAAATATCCAAAGAATCACTTAAATAAAAGAGTTCAAAGTAGTTACCATTGTGGGAAAGGAAAATGCAGGTAAAGGGACTGGGGACTAGTATATTTCTTAAATCTTATGGAACTAATTTACCCTTTGTGGACACAGTTAGAAAAGAAAATCCCATACAAAGGGGTCATATGGAGACTGACTTACCATCTCTTTTAAAACCTTATCTGTGAGGAATAATTTATATACAATAAATGGCATACAGGTTTTGTGTGATGAATTTTGATAAATACATACATACATCCATGTAGCCACAACCTTAATCTCATATCCATCTCTTACTGAATCAAAGACAGCTAGTTTTCCCATCTGGAACAGATGGGCTTTTTTCACTGATAAAGCACAAATGCAGGACCTGGTTTGCATTTTGAGGGCACAAATGCCTATTTTTAAACCCAAGAATCGCTCTGTATAGTGAGTGAGAGGCTCACATCAGGAGAGGTAGGAATGAAAGTGACTGGCAACATTGGCTAGAGTGGGATCCTATCTCCCGTTGCCTACTCCATCCAATGCCTTACATTCACACAGCAGAATGGCTGGCAGAACTGCTCTCATTCAAACTGGTATTTTCTAATTTAAAACCCAACTACGCTCTCCTGTGCTCTTTGAGGATTCTCTACTTACTAATTCTCTATCCCTAGACTGACTAAGAGGAGTTGAGGTTTCTCTTAGATCTCCTGAGGTTGTTTGGACAATAGGGAAATAGACCAAAGGAAGTCTGATGGCCTTGAGAGAAAAACGCAAGCTCTGGTGCCCAGCACACGCTTGGTACGGAGAGAATGTGTTTTAGGGCGGTCTATAGTTTCAGTAACTGTCCCTGGCCCACCATCCCGCTCTGGATGGTCTCACCCATCTGGTGTCCCTGGTCTACCTATCCCCCCTGCCTCTTGCCATCCCAGTGCTCAGGGGCTGGTTACCTGACATTGTGGGGCTGCTTGTCACAGGACAGCACCATGTTTGCAATGGACTGCTGCAGGTGCTGGCGTTGCTTCCGCAGGATGTGCTGGAAGTCATCTTCCAGGGTCTGTACCACATAACGCAGGAAAAGGACTCGCCCAGGCAGATGTTGTCCCTGTGGGAGAAAAATGAGAAGTATTTCATCTCCTGGGTGACAGTGAGCACTGGGCTCTCATAAAGACTTAGTCAAAGGAAGGCCACGAGTCAACAGTGTGTCTATACCGGAAAGGGAGAGAGCAGGCAGACTAGGTCATTACAAGAGGGCAAATAGGGCATTCCTGGAGGCTCAGGAGTGCAGACTTTCTGATGGTAAGAGATGACCATGGGAAGTGAGTCTCTCACTAAATCTATCAGTTTCAGAATAAACCCTTAACTGTGGCTCTCAGAACAGAGAGGCAGGAACCGGCTCCCCAATAACTCTGCTGAACTGCTAGATCAAGCAACCAGGACATCCCCCCAGCTGCTGACATTCTATAATGTGAGTTGATGCGCAGCCTTACTGTGTAAGCAAGTCTGCGGTGGGTTTTCTGTTACAGGTGAAAAGACCCCCCTGAGAAAGCCCACCCGGGCAGGTAGAGAGCATGGGCTTTGGTGGCGCACGGACCTCATTTACGGATTTTTGTTTGTTGGATCCTCTTATTAACTTAGGCCTCTGAGTCTCAGTGTCCCTGTGATTTCTGTGGTGACCATTCTAACCAAAGCCAATGTAAGTACCTGTCACCCAGCAGGCGGCACGCACAGGTCAGCAGCTTCCCTTTCCTAGGAGACAAGTGCTGGGATCCAGGCCTGGGAACTCAGGCTTTGAAATTTCAAAGAATGAGAGGGCACCCAACCATTTCTGGCCTCTGTGGGGACTTTTCAAACACCACAGGGCAGGCATGTTTCCTAGAAACCAAACTCTTGGTCAACAGGAAGAAGAATGACCATTCTAAGTATCTACCATTTCTTTCTTCCTTTGGAGGATGTGGGGATGGGATACCTTTGTCTTCTAAAGTATAATTTTTTAAATCTAATCTTTATTGATATAAATGCTTTTGAAAAACTCAAGTACGTGTGCTAGATTTATGAAGAGTCTTCCAGTGACACCTCTCCATAGCCACTTGTCCCCTCCAGCGCCCTGCAGGGAAGAGCTTGAACTCTTCTGAAGGTTACCCTAAATATCTCTAAAAAAATGCTCTTATCACACTATTTTTTTTATCAGCTTTAGACATTACCTATTGGTTTCTGCTATGCTAGATGAGGATTTATCTCATTTATGCCACATCCCAGTTCTCTTCCTAAAATAACTACCTCAATTTATGTTCCAACACCTACAAATAATATATTCTATCTCTATGCTGTAAGATAAGGATACCGTAATAGCCCCACTATTCTCAGAGATGCTATCTCTTTCCACTTCCCAACCTTTATCTTCTATACTTTTCTATTTTCTACTGTCAAAACTAATAAAATTATCTTCCATGCTTTGTATAAAATTGATTTTAAACATGATAACCAAATAGTGTTCACAGTGTGAGGACCATGTTAAAATTATTTATTACACTGGAGATCCATATAGTATTCTAAGAAAATCATTTGTTTCTGGTGAAGATTTTTATTTTCTTAAAGCTTCTTTTATATTCTTTCTACATTGCTTGACATTATCAGTTTACTTCTTTCACCTCCTCAAGAATAGTGTTGAATTTTGAGAATACCCTTCTTTCCCAAATTGATTTATTTTGGTATTTTTAAAAACAACTTATTGACAAACCATAAAATTCATCCATTTTAAATGTACAACTCAATGATTTGTTATAAATATATCAAGTTCTGCAACCATCACCATCACCATTTTATTTATTATTATTTTTTAAATTGTTGACATTACACATGTCCCCTATGTCTCTGTTTGCCCTCCTCCACCCAGACCGCCCCCCCTCCCTCCGGCCCTCACCACATTGTGGTGTGTCCACTGGCCATGCTACATGTCCTCTGGGCAGGTTTCCTCCCTCCGTGGCTGCAGCCCTTTCCACATGTACTCTAGCCTCTGCCTCTCTCTGCCTGGCTTCATCAGTCATCACTCTTACCTTTCCTCTTCCCATCTTCATTCAGATCTAATGTCCTTCTTATTTTCATTGCCATGGATTTATAACTTACCCTACTCATTTTACCATGTTTCTCTTTTATTAGTGTAGATATAAAAAAAAAAAAAGAAAGAGAGGGATAAGTGAATGTCCTCAATCTTGAATTAGAAGCCAGCACATACCACTTCAGTAGGAATTATCTGATGGGGATGAGAATATAAAGGAAATAATGGCCAAAGACCTTACTATCAGATTTGTTGTTACTTTTGTTTCTAGTTAAAATTTCCTCTGCAAAAGACACACCCTCGTAACGTTGACGTTACCTCTTCCTCCATGACGTACGTGAGCAGCTTCCAGTCCCACTCCACTGTCTTGGCGTTAGCTGGATGGAGCCTGAAAGTCAAGTGACATGAAGTTAGTGTTCTGGAGACCTTAGTGGGAAAAGGGATGGGATCTAGAAGGTAGAAGCAAGAAGCCTCCTCTTATCCTGAGTGCTTTTGCCCACCCCTCTTTGATACACTACTATGTCAACTGAAGGTAGTAGAATTTCTTTTTCTTTTTTTGCCACCCAGTGTCCATTTCTCTTTGGAGCCATTAGTGGCCCAATTTTGCCCGGAGGAAATCAACTGTTATTAGTTAGCCACTGGCTTTACCACAGGACCCTGGGATGAATGAAGCCTATGAAGCGCAGTGAGCCAGTCATAACTTCTACCCCTCAGCTCGCAGGGATTGTCTCACAGATGGGCTCATGTCGTAGGTTATGCCAATTAAATCCTATAAGACTCAATTGCAGAACTCTTGTGTGATTATAAAGGAAGCAGATTTGCTCTCGCACTCAGAGTATCATAAAAGCTAGAGACTGAGAAGGCTACCACATGAAGCCTGAAAACAGAAGCAAAGCAGAGCTGAAAAATGAGTCTTTGTAACTGTTTTTGAACTGAATTAAGTCGTTTTATTCCTAGGTTTCTAGTAACATGCATCATTAAATTCTCTTTTACTACCTGTTAAAGCCAGTTTGGACTGGCTTTCCTGTCAACTAGTAATCCAAATAACACTAGTAGACTAAGGCACCCTCTCTAATGGGTAGCTGAATAGAACCTAGGCAAGAGAAAGCTATGCCCCAGTCCAGGCTCCCTAGAAGGTTTGCCCACATCTAAGGTTCATACTGTTGGATTTTCATGAGAAGCATGTAGGCCTCCTTTAGGACGTCCACGGACTCAGAGCCGCTGAGCAGGATTTTCTGGATGATGTGAGCCACAATTTCTCTGGGAGGGTAATGCTGGGGTGACACAAAGTCCATCAAAAACTGCACCGTCCCCAGGGGAAAATTTTCTTCAATGGTGTTTGTTACCATTCTTAGTCTTCGATGGGGGATGGGTTCTAATTTTTGACCCTTGTTCTGTAGAGATAAAGAGAAATAAATTAGGATGGGTTTTCTACAGACTTAAAAACAAGAGGTTCTGAAACAGGTTGAAGACAGCAAAGTTTTCCATGCATTTGAAATATTTATAATTTTTTTAAAAAAAGACTGGAAGGCCTTATCTAAAAATGTTCAATGACATGGGCAAATGCTTATATTAAGTTAAAAAATAAGAATTCAGTATTATACATATAACATGATTTCATCTGTGTTAAAATATAGCATAGAAAGAAAAGCACAAAAGAGTCAAGAGCTAGCCTAAGCTGATTTTGGGGTGAGGGTGATAAGATATTTAGGGGTAGTTATAATAGCTTATCAGGTACTGAAATAAATAGAGGAAGAAATATATTTTTAAATATGTTTTATTGTTAGGAGAAGAATCCCATTTTTTCTTTTCTTTTTCTTTTTTTGAGTTGCTAGTAAATAGTAAGTTGTTTTCTCACCCAAAAAAGTATGTATATAAAGTCTGGGAGAGAAAAATGTGAAAGTGGTTTATACTATCTGGGTAGTGGAATTATAGTGATTTTCTTCTGTATATGCTCTTTTGTATTTTCAATTTTTCCATAATAGACATATATTACTTTCATAACCAGAAGAAGAACAAACATTAAGAAGTTTGATATGGGAATAACAGCAATAATTATAAAACAATTTTTGTACATTGAACTTATCCTCATTTCTCACAACAACCTTAAGAAATAATTATTATTGCCCTGGCTGGTTTGGCTCAGTGGATTGAGCACTGGCCTGCGGACTGAAGGGTCCCGGGTTCAATTCCGGTCAAGGGCACATGCCCAGATTTCGGGCTTAATCCCCAATAGGGGGCATGCAGGAGGCAGCTGATCAGTGATTCTCTCTCATCATTGATGTTTCTATCTCTCTCTCTCCCCCTTCCTCTCTGAAATCAATAAAAATATATTTAAAAAAAAGAAATACATATTATTATTCCTACTTTATAGATTAAAAAACAGATTCAGAAAGTAAGCATTTGTCATACATTAAATGGTTTCACAAATAGTGGAAAGATAAAAATGTCAAGTTCATATTGGGCATGTTCTCTCATGCATGGATTCCTGCTAGCATACTAACCTTATTCTAGGTCTGTTCAGAGGGCATCTAAGCCCTAGGGGAAGATAGGTTAGCTCAGTGGTCGGCAAACTCATTAGTCAACAGAGCCAAATACCAACAGTACAACGATTGAAATTTCTTTTGAGAGCCACATTTTTTAAACTTAAACTATATAGGTAGGTACATTGTTATTAACTTAATTAGGGTACTCCTAAGGCTTAGGAAGAGCCACACTCAAGGGGCCAAAGAGCCGCATGTGGCTCGCGAGCCGCAGTTTGCCGACCACAGGGTTAGCTCACCTCTCTTACGTCTTTATCGGGTATTAGTGTCTGGAAGAAGAGGTGATGCACCGGAGGTCGTAAGAAGTACTTCAGTCTATGCAGGCAGGGTCTGTTGTACAACACGCCTGGTGGTGTTCGTGCTTGTATGTGGGCAGACCCGGGGTTGGCAGGCTCTGACATTGCTATCTCCTTTCTGGCTGGAGTTTCTGGGACAGAGAGCCAGGGAATTTTCTCTAAGGAGGTTTTAGACTGTGGAGACTGTGGGCTGAGAGAGCAACTTGGAGAAGACGGAGCTGAGACATCCATAGGAGTGTCATGGTTCTGTACATCATTTGGGGGAGAGTTAGGCCTGTTTCCTGGCAAGTGTGGCATGTCTCCAGGTGAACGCAGCACATCTGGTAAATGTGAGACTTCTCCAGTTGACTGTGGCACACCTCTTGGTGACTGTGGCACACCTCTTGGTGATTGGGGTGCACCTCTAGGTGATGGTGGCACATCTCTAGGTGACTGTGGCACACCTCTTGGTGACCGCGGTGCGTCTCTTGGTATCTGTGGTGCATCTCTTGGTGATTGCGGTGCATAGCTTGGTGTCTTCGGTGCATCTCTTGGTAACCGCAGTATATCTCTTGGTGACCGTGGTGTACTTCTTGGTGACTGTGGTGTATCTCTTGGTGATCGCAGTGTATCTCTGGGTGCATCTCTTGGTGACTGTGGCACACCTCTTGGTGACTGCAGTGTATCTCTTGGTGACTGTGGTGCATCTCTTGGTGATTGCGGTGCATAGCTTGGTGTCTGTGGAGCATCTCTTGGTGACTGTGGAGCATCTCGCAATGACTGTGACATGTCTCCTGATGACTGTGGCATATCTGGTGGCTGTGGCATGTCTCCCAGTAACTGTGGCATGTCTTGCAGGTGTGCCACATCTTGTGGATAGGATATGTTTTGAGGTGGGCCAGGTACCCCTTGAGGTAGGCCCAGAGAGTCTTGAGACGGGCAGAGTGAGTCTTGAGATGGGCTTGGTGAGTGTTGAGGATGCCATGATGTGTTTTGAGGTCGGCTTGGTGAGTGTTGAGGATGCCATGATGTATTTTGAGGTCGGCTTGGTGAGTGTTGAGGATGCCATGATGAGTCCTGAGGTGGGCATGGTAAATGTTGAGGATGCCATGAGTCCTGAGATGGGCATGGTAAGTGTTGAGGATGCCATGAGTCCTGAGGTGGGCATGGTAAATGTTGAGGATGCCATGAGTCCTGAGGTGGGCTTGTCATATTTTGCTGAGGGCATGACATATTCTGAAGGCATGGCATTTCTTGAGGCAGGTTAGGCAAAGCTTGTAGTTGGCACTGCACAGGTTGTGATGGGCACGACAAGGCTCGTGGTGGGCAGGAGGAGGCTCGTGGTGGACATGGCAAGGCTTGCAGTGGGCATGGCAAGGCTTGTGGTGGGCAAGGTACATCTTGCTGTGGGCATGGCAAGGGCACCCTGTGATTGCTGCTGTGACCATTATTGCTTACTGGGGAGAGGGAGTGAACATCTGAAGATAGCTCTAGGCCTGCCAAGAAGCTGAAGTCATCTTTGAATGCAGTTGAGCTACAGTTCGGCTGTGCTGGATAAACAGAGTCCCCACTGATGGGTGCAGGGGGTTGGGAGCCTTCAAATGTGGTTTCCTCCAAAAGGTCCAAATCCACAGGGTCGCTGTTAATGATTCTCCGTGCCGCAGGCCAAGAGCTTCTGCCCACCCGCCCTTCCATCGCCTCTTTGCTGGAGAGGCTGGCACATGTTTGAAGATTGGTTGACTCCTTCTGGGAAGGAGCAACAGGTTCTAGAGTCAAGTCAAGAGTGGCAATAGGTCTGTTTTCTTCCTCAGTTCTTGTCAGGTCAATCACACAGATTGCATTGCGATCCTTTGGCCTTGGTCTGGTTTCTCTGGTTAAGTCAATGAAGTCCTGTCAAAGGATTGTGAGAAGACAAAGGGTCAAGTAGGTAGTCTCAGCTTGGTCTAAGAAGATAAACCTTAGCTTTTAAAGACAAGCTACGGAAAAAGAGACTCTAATATAAAAGACTCTACTGTGTGCTAAGAACATGTTGAGTGCTTTCACATGCCTTTAATTTTCACAATGACCCTATCAGGTAAGCATGATCACCTCCATTGTGCAGAGGGGAAACTGAGGTTCAGAGACATGAGGTCACTTACCTGAGGATTATACAGCTAACTAGTAGAGACAAACATGCAAACCCTAACATAGAGAGGGTTTGAAAAATTAAAACAGTACAAAAGATGGAAGGTAAACACTTTCTTTCTGAGCCCAATCACACTCCCTAGGAAACAATCACTCTTACCTACTTCTTGTGTTCAGATGACTTTTAAAAAACAAATTCTGCCCTGGCCGGTTTGGCTCAGTGGATAGAGCGTCGGCCTGTGCACTCAAGGGTCCCGGGTTCGATTCCGGTCAAGGGCATGTACCTTGGTTGCGGGCACATCCCCAGTAGCGGGTGTGCAGGAGGCAGCTGATCGATGTTTCTCTCTCATCGATGTTTCTAACTCTATCCCTCTCCCTTCCTCTCTGTAAAAAATCAATAAAATATATATTTAAAAAAAACAAACAAAAAAACCCCAAATTCTACAAAACTTAGAGAAACAGATATTAAGTTATTTATCCTATTCAAGATCATTGTAAAAAGGCACATAAGCTTCCTGTTTCATTTTGCAAACCTCACATAATACAACAAAATGCAATCAAAAGCAAAGAAAAATTGAAAGGTGCTCCTTGTTTGCCTTGGATGTTCCTAGTTTATGTCTGTTGTCCTAGGGCAATTATTATCAGCACTCCCTTTCACTCTCAAAAGTGTATCCGTGTGTATAATAAATAATGTCATCCTAATTACTAACCAGTCTCACTCATGAATAGAAATGCCAATATCCTCTCTAAAATATTAGCAAATCAACTGCAGTATTTTTTTTTAAAAGAGTTCCATTTCTCATCATAAGGACTAACTAGATACTCTGATAAACCAATCCAATAAAAGCTAGAATTAATATATAAATGTAAAAACATGGGAGAAGATATAACAAGGAAAAACCAACCAAAAGAAAGCCAGTGTAGCTATATTAATATCAGATAAAATAGACTTCAACGAAAAGATACAATTTAAAAACTATACACCTAATAACATAGTTTTCATAAAGCAAAACCAGATAAAAGTAAAAGGAGAAAAAGAATATCCAGTCATTGTGAGAAATTTTCACAAATCTTTTTTGGTCAATTATGAAAATAAAAAATTACTAAGTATATAAAAACTTGAACATATTTAACAAGCTTTTGCTCAGGTAAAACAATTATTCACAACCAAATGAAATATTTACAAAAATTAACCATATACTAGTAGTCAAAATACATCTTAGTCAATGTCAAAAGATTGATAATACTCAGACCAAAATACTATTAGGTTAAAAATCAATACAAAAAAAAAATAACTAGGGAAAACTCCACACAACTGCAAATTAAGAAGTATAACCAAATAACGTATAGATCAAAGAAGAAATCATAGAAATTAGAAAAACTTTAGAACTAAACAGTAACAAAAATGAGACATGCAGCAATTTAGAAGAAAATTTAGAGACTTAGACACTTAACTAGAAAAGAAGAATGAAAGGAAATTAATGTGCTAAATACACATCTTTAGACAACAGAAAAAGAACAGAACAGACCCAAAGAAAGCAGAAATGAACAAAAGAACAAACACAGCAGAGAAGAGCAGCAATGTCAAAGGTTTGTTCTTTTAAAAGATTATTAATAGTCCTGGCCAGTGGCTCAGTTAGTTGGAGCATCGTCCCATACACCAGAAGGTTTGCAGGTTCGATTCCTGGTCAGGGCGTGTACAGGAGGCAACAGATAGATGTTTCTCTCTCACACATTGATGTATCTCTCTCTTTCTCTGCCGCCCCCCCCCT